GAAGCCTCCAGCCTCCCTGCCCCCCACCCTGAGCCGTGCACACCCCTTCCGGTGAGAGCACCAGGCACGCACACTTCCCATACAGCCAGTGAGGAGCACGCACGCCTCGTGGCTAGTTCCCCCCAGGAGGAGAAAAGGCAAACCGTAGAGTGATGAGGAAAGTAGGTCCAGGCCTGCCGTCGCGAATGCTGGCTGGACGTGTGCAGCTGAGGGCCGAGTGGGGAAGAAGGCGGTTCCATCCCTTTCGAGGTCTTTCCCATCTGATGCTGCCGCTCTTCTTATAGAATGGCTTTTCTGTCCAGGGGGAACACGGGACTGATTTTGGCAGCTTTCCTGCTCCTGTGGCAGATTTCCAGCCCCCCCATCCCCCCCCCCCCCCCCCATGCACACACACTCTTAGGAGGGCAAATAAAACTGCAGTGCAGGGGGAGGGAGTTGCCTTCCTTTAGGGCGATTCCGCGCACACGCCTCAGAATCCAAGCCTTTGTGTTTTGGTTCTGACACGGACCTTTGTTCACAGTAGGACTGGGAACTTTCGACAGTTGTTTTTTATGTTAGATTCTCATAGGAACTACTGCCCTCCATGCCTAGGAAAGGGTCTGGAGGATTCCACAAAAGCAGTTGATCCGCCCTCGATCTCCTGTTTCTCCTGGTTGTACTGCTCGGTTTTTCAGTATTTGCTGCGCGGCCGCATTTTAACCTGCATCTCCCCCCCCCCAATTTTCCCCACGTCTTCTTGATCCTAAAAAATAAGGATCAAGAAGATGGGTGGGAAATCGGGGTGTGTGTGTGCAGGTCAAAATGCAGCCGTGGGAAATTGAGCAGTACAGTCGGGGGGCAACAGGAGATTGAGGGCGGGACAACCACTTTTGCGGAATCGGGTTCTGAGTGCTGATGGTGTCTCTATCAACCTCTCTGCACGTCTTTTGATTCCAGCCCTGTGTTCAGATTGTGTTTTCCAACAATAAAGCATCTGACTGTGTTTGCTGATGCAAAGAACTGGACTGAGGTCTGGAGACCAGGGTGGTGCATGACTCTGGAGCTCCACATTTTTCTGTGGCAAACATGGAGCTCCCAAACCTGTGCTTCCTACTAATCCTGCCACGGAGGCATTTGGAGGGGAGAACTGGTTAGAGGGGAGGCTTAACCCTTTCTCCTTTGTAATCCTTCCCCCTCAGCCATTTAAAAAAATGTTTTTGGTTTTTTACCTGGACTAAAAATGTCTAGCTGCCATCTCCTCTCCCCCATGGCAGGGGGGGGGGAGAGGATGGGGGGGCCAGTGACTGGGGGAGGCTAAAGGTCTGACGCCCACACCGTTTCTCCCCTGCAAAATGTCCCCTCCAAGCCTGTGTTCTTGGTAACGGACAAATGTGTGTTAATGAGCAAATACCCAGTGACAGAATATAGTTTTGCCTTTATTTATTAACTTTATTTATATCCCCCCTTTCTCCCTAATGGGGACCCAAAGCAGCTTACATCATTCTCCTCACCTCCATTTTATTGTCACAACAACCCTGTGAGGTAGGTTAGGCTGAGAGTGTGTGACTGGCCTAAGGTCACCCAGCAAGCTTCCATGGCACTGGGGGGGGGGGGGGGGGGATTCAAACCTGGCTTTCCCAGATCCTAGTCTGACACTTTAAACCCTATACTACGCTGGCTCTAGAATATAGAATTTGGCCATCTGGGGACTAGAGGGTTTTCTGGTCCTATCCAGTCCTGCGTTCCTGCAGCATGAACAGCGGGTTCCTTTCCAGGGCTGTCTCTACTGTGTTGTTTCCTAAGGTCAGGGCAGGGCACAGAGATCGCTTGAGTCAGCTCCGTCGCCTTACATAACCACCCAGGGTGGCTGGCATTTTATTTATAGATCGGGGGGGGGGGGGTTATGCCAGGAATTGCTTGCTGCAACAGTACTGATGGTTTCTCCAAGCCCAGATCTTGGTGCCTCCGACCTGCCGTAAAACCAAGATGCTCCTTTCAAAAACACACACACACAACATCGCAAACCTTCCTCAAGGCTAAGAAATTCAACTGCAATAGCAGCCTTTGCAGGAATTAGCCTCGCAGGTCAGAGGCATGGAGTGTTCAGTGTTACAAGGATGTACAGGGCAGAACCCGTTTTGTAAAGTAAGATTAAAAGGTAAAGGAACACTTCCTGGCTTGGGTGCAACGGGGTACCCTTCTTAGCCCCCCGAAGGTTTTTGTGGAAGCTCCTATGGGAGGGGGGCTACCGAGACTTTGGAATTAATCCGCAGCCGCTGCCTCTTGCCTCCTCTCCCCTCTTCTGAAGTAAATCACTGACTGTGATAAGCAC